TATCGAAAGAAGAGATCGCAAAGGAAATCAAGGAGAGAAAGAAAAAGGAGCCGCAACGCCTGACGGAAGAGAGGATAGCAGGGATGGACATCGGAGATGGGAACCTGACCCCTCAGGAGCGGGAACGTGTGATAGAGATCCTAAAGACGTGCGATAAGGCTATAGCCTTCATCGATGCGGAGCGCGGTAGGGTTGACCCTCGATACGCRAAGCCAGCAAGGATTTACACGATTCCACATGTTTCATGGAATGACGCAGGGTGGAAATACACACAGAGGGAGAAGGAAGAAGTTATCGCCTTCCTGAAAGAAAAGATCGTTTCCCATGTTGCGGAACCGTCTGATAGCTCTTATGCTAATCGATGGTTCTTCCTACGAAAGCCGAATGGCAAGATCCGGTGGATCCTGGACCTTCAGAAGGTCAACGCGGTGACGATACGAAACGTGGGCTCCGTGCCACACGCCGACTTATTGGTTGAAGGCGCCGCAGGCAGGTCGATTTATTCGGTTTGTGATTTGTTCTCAGTCTATGATGAGGTACCGCTTGATCCTAGGGACAGGCACCTCACGCCTATGCACACGCCATTGGGACTGATACAGATGATGGTAGTCCCTATGGGTTGGACTAATGGGGTAGCCGTTTTCCAGAGAGCCATGGTAGCCGTCCTCAAGGACTTCATTCCTGACAAGGTTGAAGTTTTTTTGGATGACTTTCCTATTAAGGGCCCAATGCAGAAAGACGAAACAAAAGTTGTACCAGGAATAAGGAGATTCGTCGAGCAGCACCTAACAGATATTTGTGCGGTTCTCGAGCATTTAGACGATGCAAATTTGACGGTCAGCGGAACAAAGAGCCGATGGGCTGTCTCGACTATTAAGATCTTGGGCTTTATTTGTGACTCGAGAGGACGCCGAGCAGAGCCGGCGAAGCTAGACAAACTCCTAAATTGACCGTCACCGTTACATAGTTCAACCGAGGTTCTGCAGTTTCTGGGAGTGGTCGGTTACTGGCGGATATTCAAACAGGGGTATGCGGAGAAGGTTGAGCCATTGAGGTTACTCCTTCGAAAGACTGAGAAATTCTACTGGGATTCCTCGCAGGAACTCGCTATGCAAGAGCTTAAAGACGAATTTAAGGAGGGAGGACGTGTATTGGGCGTGCCATTCTTTGACGATGAGGCCGAGAGACCCTTCATAGTATCCACAGATGTTGGACCTTGTTCGGTAGGTGGATTGTTGTCTCAGAAGGACGCTGAAGGGGAGGAGAGACCGTTAAGATTTGAGAGTAAAACACTTAATACGGTTGAGCGTAACTACATTCAATTCAAGAAGGAAGCGATAGCTGTTCTGCGGTGTCTAGACACATTCAGACACTATATTTATGGGCGTCGGTTCATCTTGAGAGTAGATCCCACAGCGGTTGCCTCTGTCATCCAGAAAGACTTTAGCCTGACGGACCCGACCATCGCACGATGGTTAATACGGATTCGGCTATATGATTATGCAGTTGAGAGGATATCTGGCACTAAAAATGTTGTGGCGGATGGGCTTTCGCGGATCCCTCTGGAGGACGAGCGCCCGATAGTAGCTGGAGCCCTGATATTGGCGGAGCCGAGACGCGTCGATCGTTTTTTGGTTAACCTCTACGAAGGCAAATATCGAACAATCGGGCTACATTTGTCGGGTGAGGAGAGTCAAGATTCAGATATCCGGAGACAAGCGGTCCAGTACTGTCTAAGAGCGGACCATCTATTTCGAAGACCCGTCGGGTCGGGGACGCCTTTACGAGTAGTCTGTGATCCTGAGGAGAGACAGACGATAAAAGCGGAGCTTCATGACGGAGTAGTCGGTGGACATAGAGGAGTCAAAGGGACCTACGAAAAGGTACGCAAGTTGTACTGGTGGGAAGGGTAGTATAAGGACGTTGAAAGATATTGTATGACCTGCGAGGAGTGCCAGAAGAGAGCTCTTGTGAAATACAAAGAGTCACTTCATCCATCTTATCCAACCAGACCAGGAGAGAACGTACACATTGATCTGGTGAAGATGCCGAAAGGAGTAGGCAATATGAACTACGTTGTGAACATACGAGACAACTTCACTGGGTTCGTGGACGGAAGACCTATCAGGAGTAAGACGGCCAAGGAAGTGAAGAACTTCGTCCTAGAGTACTTATCTAGGTATGGCTGTGTCAGCAGGATAGTGATGGACAGAGGGGCGGAGTTTCTAGCTGGCGAGGTTCAGAGTGTGTTCAAGAGAGCCGGAGCGAGGGTTTCGATAGCCACCGCCTACCATCCACAATCAAACTCTTCAGTGGAAAGGGGACACCAGACTCTGATAGTGTCATTATCTAAGTGGTGCAAAGGTAAGGACAGTAATTGGCCACGATATTTTCGATACGCGATATGGGCGGACAACGTCACGGTCCGAGCTAGCACTGGATACCCACCATATACCTTGTTGTTTGGGGGGCATTGTCCGCTCCCCATAGAGTTTCACGTCGACAGCTGGACAACCGTCGACTGGGCGGAGAAGATGTCCAGGGACGAACTCATAGTTGCCCGGACAAGACAGATAGCCTACGGTTTGGAAGACAACCTTATGACAGCGGCAGATCGTCTAGCAGTAGAGAGAAACAAAGGTAAAGAGAGATGGGATAAGAGCGTGCGGATCAGGAAAGAGAGGGTGGATGTAGGAGATATGGTCCTTCTCTACGATGCAGCGCTGGAAAGGACCTGGACCGGAAAACTTGCCAACAGATGGATGAGACCCTACAGAGTGGTTGAGGCACTCGACAGGGGTGCCTGTATGATAGCAGAGTTAGATGGATCCAAGTGGAAGGACCCAGTGGCGAGTGTCAGGTTAAAGCTGTTTAGACCCAGGCCTACACCCACCTTATCGCTGACAAGCCTGAAAGAGAAAGGAAAAACCAAAATGGAGGATGGAGCCCCCTTAAGACGATTCGAGGCAGGCGAAAGTTCTAAGAAAAGGAAAAGAGTGGAGAGAAGAAAGGTAAAAGGGTTGGCATTAGGAAGGGGAGAAGAAATGGTTATTCGTGCTTAACGGATCGGCACCTTTCTCGGGCCAACGTCAGAAGAAAAAGAGGATCTTACCAAGGCCGAGAACCCGACGGAAAAGGAAAGTCAAAAAACATCTACTTAGCCCTATAACTCAATACGAACTGAAACATAAGACAATTAGACGCCGACGTGGGCGTCCTTTACGGGCAATCACCCTGAAGCTCGTCCGCTTCGTCAGACGTAAGTGGTTAGGGCTCGACAAGGGCGTCGAGAAGTGGTCCGGGCTAACTGTCAGGCGGCCACAAGCAGTGTGCCGCCTGAAATATGCGGTTTTGGGTCTTAGGCTCAAAGACAAGTCCGTGTTTTAACGGTGCTCCGGGTTGACCAGGCAGCAAAAGTTAGGGGAGCTCAGGGCACCCCTGATTTTCGGCGCACTGAACCTTACGAGTAACCCTCAAAGATGGCGAGATGGAAGGCCGCACTCGGCGCATCTAGGGACCGTCATTTTCGGTTGTTCAGAGGGTTAGACCCGGATTGCCCTGCCGCGGAGAGGCATGAAGGGAGTTGACCTCGCCGCAGCGTTTTTGCAGCATACGACCGGGGCGAAATGGGGCCTCAATTTTTTGTCTATTTTAGTACCATAATTAAAGATGGGAAGAGGGATTAAGACCAGTAGGGGAGAAGGGAAAAACATAATATCCCTTAATTTCTTTATTTTTCACGGCATTTAATTCTAGGGGGAATACCCTTGTTATTTTATGTTCCCGGCAATTAAATTAAAAACATAGAAAAAGATTAAAAATGGTAAAAGAGAAAAGAAACAAAAGGAATTCGGCCATTTATTTAAACTTTCTCGGAATTGAATTTTAGGGAACTTACGGTTAATTTACTATTTCCGACAATAGAATTAAGGAAAGGGAAGAATGATTAAAAACGATGAAAGGGACGAAAACCCATGACTATTGGGAGATTGGCCTAATTTCTCCTTGATTACCCGCCATCAGCTCTGACCCCAGATTGATAATTTTCCCCGGATTTTAACAAGTTTTCACTACTGCCCATGGTCGAGGTTCCCTGCGTCGCTTTCCCTGGTTTGCTTAATTACTAACATTACCGCAGTTGGGATGTTCTGAGAACGGGAGTCGCATGGACAGCATGGGGTGGTGCTACCTTGGGTCGACAGTATGGTGTTTGGTTCGGTACGGATACGGGGGTTCTTACGGAGTGGCTACGTCCTACGATTTCTAACGCGCTTCAGGTTCGGTATGGGCCCGGTGACAGTTGTTTCACTACGTTGACTTATTTTCAGGTTTGGGACAACTGCAGTGATTTGTTCTCAGGACCGGGGCCGCTACGACAGTTATTCCAGGTTTGGAACCCTGGCGGCAGTTTGTTTTCAGGTCCGGAAACGTTGCGGCATTCTATATCAGGTTTGGGATAGGTACGGAATTATCATGGCACGGTTGTACGGGTTCGGCATCTGAGTGGCACAGCAGCCCGGTACTAGATTTCGGGTCCGGTCAGGTTTGGGGGCATCGCGGTGTTTCGTTTCAGGTTCGACGCCCTCACGGAGATTTATTTCAGGTTCGGAACCTCTGCAGTGACTCATTTTCAGGTCCGGGACCACTGTGACGATTTATTTCGGGTTCGGAACCTCTACGGTGATTTATTTTTAGGACAGGGACGACTGCGGTAGTTCATTTAAGATTCGAGACCTTGGCGGCAGTCTATTCCAGGTTCGGTACCATCGTGGCAACTTATTTTCATGTCCGGGATCATTGCGGCGGTTAACTTCAGAATTGGTACTATTACCGCGCCGCTGCATCTTGCCGTGTTCGACATGTTTCAGGAACGGTATTGGTTCGGCATTGGCGTGGTACACGCCACTGCATCATTTTCAGGCACGGTCTTGGATCGGCATCGGCACGATATAAGTTACAGCATCTCCAAGCGATTACTTCAGGCTCTGCATTGGTGCGGTAACAATACAGTGTGTTGTACGGTRACAACACAGCCTGCTACAGCTTAGACTGGTAATTCCCTGGTTCGGGAACGGTATGGTGCACGCCACTGTGTTGTTTCCAGGTTCGGTGATGGTATGGTACAGACGGCCACGGTTCAGACTGGTAATTCCCTGGTTCGGGAACGGTATGATGCACGCCGCTGTGTTGTTTCTGACTTGCAGCGGCTATCGAGCCTTCAGATAAGGCTAACTGGTGCTGGCCCTATCGCGAAATGACCCTTGGTCTAAGGGCCCTTGCCACCACCACAGACGAAGTACTGGGTCTACTGCCCCGGGCCTGTTTATTGCCTAGTCGGGGCCTGRAGACTCAGGTACCGTTTTGCCTCGAATAGAACCAGTGGTGTTGAGCCTACGAGCCTGAGTCTACGTGGATATAGCCGTGGCGGTTGAGAAACCAGGGGGAGGAAAACTAAGCGCGAGCAAGGTGTACCCGCGACTGCAAGCACGRSCAGAATCRGCGCTCCGGCGGTTACTCCRCGCGTGCGAGGGGTGTACGRCGGACATGYTGTTGACAGSGGCGATGRGACTGCGTGCCAGGCSTGCRCAGCRCGCTAKCACATGATCCGATTGAAGGAAGGGATGGAGGTGGCGAGGTGTGTGCAGTRATAGAGCGAGCTGATCAGGAGGGGGGCAGAAAGGATACGGCAGGCGTACGTAGCGCACACCCATCTCGGCCATGGCATGTATGACTCTTTTCGGGGAAGCGAGTGAATTCTGTGCGAGATGACACACTGTCTGGAATTCGTAGTATACGGTTGTCAGCCAAGAGAAAGGGGGCTAGACCAGCACGGTTTGCTCGGGCAGCAGGTCAGACGCTGGAACTCATGGGTGTCTCTGCGCGTGGGCGAACTGCTGTGGTCAAACGGGCTCGAGACGGCTGCAGCGACAACTAGAGGCCCGGCACGGGCGAGGGAGTCATGCTCGTTATGCTAGAGGACGGATGCTCCCCGTTTCTGAATGAATCTCCCCACCTGACCAGGTAAGATGTGAAACAAGCCGTTGTGATCCCACGAGCGTTTTTGTTGGTATGAGAGGTTGAGCAAGTGAGTGAGAGTATGGGAAGGAGAGAAAGTGGGGAGTCGGAATCTGAGGAAGAGGGCGAGAGCTTAGCCTGGTTGGCTTGACAAGCTCCAGAAGGGGTATGACAGACGCAGAGAGGGGGGCTGGCAGTAACCGCTGATTATTACATATACATATTGATAACTATTAACATTAATGATGACGCGCACGTCCTCTGGAGCGACGAGCCCGCTCAAACCGC